TCAAGGCTATGGTTTTTCCAGTAGTCATCTATGGATGTGAGAGTTTGACTATAAAGAAAGCTGAACGATGAAGAATTAGCGCTTTTGAACCGTAGTGCTGGAGAAGACTCTTGAGATCCAAGAGTCTTGGACTGCAAGGAGATCCAACCAGTCCATCCTAAAGGAAATCAGTCCTGACTGTTCATTGGAAAGACTGATGTTGAAGCTGAAACTCCAATAATTTGGTCACCTGATGCGAAGAGCTGACTCACTTGAAAAGACCCTGATGCTGAGAAATATTGAAGGCAGGAGGAGAAGGGGACGACAGAGGATGACATGGCAGGATGGCATCGCCGACTCAATGGACATGGGTTTGGGTAGACTCTGAAGTTGGTGATGGACAGGGAGGCCTGGTGTGCCACAGTCCATGGGGTCACAATGAATTGGACAGGAGTGAATGATTGAACTAAACTGACTGACTGAACTCAATGGAATAAAATTTGAACATGGAAATGCCTAGTAAGGGCTTCCCTGGTACCTCAGTGGTAAAGAATCTGCCAGTGGAGTTGGGTTCGATCTCTGGGTTGGGAAGATCCCCTGGAGTAGGAAGTGGTAACCTACTCCAGTGTTCTTGCCTGGAAAATCCATGGTCAGAGGAGCCTGGTGGGCTACAGCCCATGGGGTCACAGGACTTCGCAACTAAGCAACAACAATGCCTAGTAAGATAGATGGGAAAGGAAAAATTATTTTTTTCCCAGTAGTTTAAGAACAAAGCTCAATAATCCTTTAAGGAATATAAACAGACCCAGCTCTCAACAAGAGGAAATTCATGAAATATGGCATCAATTAAAAACTGATACATGTATAGAAACAGGAATACCCAAATTATTAAAAAGGAAAATCAATCATCAGAACCCACCCGGAACTCTTGCATAAGCTAGAAATAGCAGAAAGACATATTCAGACAATTATTATAACTGCACCCTGTATGTTCAAAAAATTAAGTAGAAACATGACAATATTGATACTTTTAGAAAGACTAAAATTGAACTTGAGAGGTGAAAACTAAAATATGTGAGGTGAAAAATATACTGAACAGAATTAATGGTGTGGTCAGTACAAGATTATAACTTGGTAATTTTATCCCCATCTATTTAACTTTTCTAGTTATGGGTTTCTTTGAGTTCATGTCAAAGCCTAAGATGACTGCTTTGAATTTGGGGCCAAAAGAAGAATACAAGGTAAAATGGCAAAACAACACTTGCAGACAAGTCAGCTTCCTTTAAGATTTACCCACAAGCGTCACAAAACTTTTCTCCTAATATCTCATTGTCCAGAACTTTAAAAAAAGAAAAGTTACCCATGTTTGCACAGCAGGCAAGAAAACGTAATATTTTATTCCAAGTGAACAGCAAAATGTGTAGCTGACAATTAGAGAAATAAAAATGAGCTTTACAGATTTAAGAAAAAATAGAATTAGTGCTTCAATAGAACTAATATTTTAGTTGAAATTCTTAGTGTTTTGGGGATATATCTATTTGTAGTATAGATTAAAGTTGAAAGGTCAAATGTAATGAGAAATAGATTGTTGCCTTTTTAGATTAGAGAGAAAAGCCTTAAATTACTTGATTCAGTGATTCATGAATAGTAGGCATTCAGTTAATATTTGATGAATGAATGAATAATTTCCTATAAAACATATTCTTACTAAGCATTAAGAATTTCATTAGTGTCAGTCATGATAGGCTCATGTTTTTGTGCAAAACCTTTTACTTGGGATCCTCTACCGTGGTTGCAAAAGATCTGGAGACTACAAAGCGCATTTCTGTTAATAAAGTTTTTCTATTTGAAATAATTCAAAGGAAACTCATATATTTGGTTTAATGAAAAATAACATATTTATGTTTGTCATTCTCTGCTTTTCATCTCCTCTTGAAAGCAAAATTCAGTTTGAACAGTATTAATTCAGCCACAACATGGCATTTCCCTGATAAACTTGAACTGAGGCAGAGAACATAAAAGCCTCATAGTACATTTTTATATAATAGGACACTCTGTTCCTTGGTTTGCAAATCTTCCTGACTTAGTGATGGTACCTCTCACAATTCCCCAGACCTTACAGACAAGTCTTAGGAATTCAGTTCTGAGAAGCAACAGTCTAGTGCATATATTTTTCTTTTGACAAATCCTTGCTCAGAGGATTTCTGAGCAAGTCTCAGAGGGATTTGTCGTAATACGCTTGTTCCTCTTGGGTAGGTCAGTTGTGTAAGAAACTATTCCAAAGGATGACTGCGGGACATAGTTGAGAATATTCTAGCAGCAAAGACTTCAATTTGCTAGAATGCTATCAAATAAATGAGACTCACTTAAATGTAAAAATTAACAGAAATGTATTACAAAATCCACTTCATTGGCCCATTGGCAATCCAAAGATCACTCAATAAGCATCTAAAATTATTATTTTTCACTAAGCTGGTTTTCCCTTTTAAAGAACTTTCTAAGAAAAGCAGTAAATTTTCTTATCTGTCCTTTCTATGTGCATCTTAGTATTTCAAAACAACAGGGATGTTTTGGAACATCACTAAATGTTTCAAGACATCCACCTATTTTAAGTGATATTCTTTTGCTCATTTTACATTCCTCACTTAGTGTAGTTTGTAAGACAGAAGTCAGCATTTGGACCCAGAGAGTTGTGAGACTGTGCCAGTAACTAAGCTATTAGTTGTCAGATTCAAACTCACTCTTTGTAATGCTGGGGCTAGGACTCCACCATCTGCATTCAGTTTCTCCAGCTTCTTTCTTTTAGCCCCTGATCATCTGGGGCCCTGGAAAGAGACTCAAAAGCAGGAAGAGGGAGGACATACTTCTTCTCAATCACAACTTTCTTCTGTTTTTTTTTTTTTTTTTTGGCTCCCAGTCTTAACACTGTCATTCCAGTAATGCTTCACTACAACAGGAGCAATTTGTTTATAGCAGCAATTAACTACAGTTTCAAGGGTTTTCTGCTTTTAACTATACTTCTCTTAATAAAACCAGCCTCATGACCCTTTAAGTAATTTAACACCTGCCAGCTGATGTCCTTCACAGAGGTCTGTCCCCTAGCCCCTAAGGTCTCTCTTTGAACTAATAGACAACAATCCCCACTGATAAGACCTACTACTTAACGTAAGTTCAGCTCTCAGGAGTTCTCCATCAAGTGTCTTAATTTTAATAATTCCAACATTTTCCATTTTCCTCCAGTGACTAAGGCTTGTGGCTGTGTCCTGTAGCTGTTCATCATGTAAAACCTTAGTGTTGCCTTTCAAATTTTTAGGTTTTCAATACTTGGTCAATAATTGCTTATCTTAAATTCTCTGTTAAAATAACCGATATTTCTTTCTTATGACTGCACTCTAGTTAACCATGCTTTGTGATCACCAAACTTAGAATAATTGCCATATTTATGATTAAAGTGTTATCTAAGGCTAATTTTTTCAAAACATTGATTTGGCACCTAGTAGAGGTACATGTGTTGTGCTGGGCGCTGCAAAGAATTCAGAGAATCATTAGCTATAACTTCAGCTGCAAGTGTTTAGGCAATTTTAAATTATAGAACCTGGATATGTATGTAATAATTATAATACATTAAGTACTTTGTGAGTATTATGAAGAATGAGCTTTAGAAAAGTTCAGAGAAGGAAATTAATATCTTTGGAAATCAGAATATATCTGAAGAATTTTAATAATGCTAAATGATAGTAGCTGAAACTTAAAAGATGTTTATAAAGGAAACCAAAAATATGGTTGATAGACATGGGGAAAAATAACATGAACTGGGGAGAATATGAGAAGAGTTTGCATAAATGCATCAATATTTGGTAGGAACAGAGACTTTGTAAAACATGGTAGTGGGAAATAAAATTCACAGGGAAGTCTAGCGTGAGATAGTAGATCTTTAATGACTGTTTAAGGATTTGAGGGTTTTTCCTACAAGTAACACAGAACAATGACTGGAAGGGAGAAACAAAAATAGAATATTTTAAATTCATCATACCATGGATGTAATAGTATAAAACTATTTGAAGGTAGATTGCAATAAGTTAAAGCTATACACTGTAACTGTTCAAGAAATCACTGAAAAAAGAAAAAAATAATAGAGCTAATAAACCTATGACAGAGGTAAAAAATGGAAAAATCAAATTTGGGTCTAAAAAAGAGATAAAATTAAAAATGAAATAGCATATGAGATTAATAGAAAACAATAATATGAAAAGTTTAAATCCACCTGTGCCAATAAACACATTTTAAAATAAATTGAATATGTCTACCAATTAAAAGACACAAATAATCTATTGGAAGTAAAAGCTCCAGTTATATGCTGTCAACAAGAACAAATTAATTACAAATTGCAGATAGAGTTAAAGGAAAAGTATAGATAAAAAGGAATGCTATACCATGCTTATATTTATCAAAGAAAATTGGAGTGGCTATATATTTGAAAAGTAGATTTCAGAACAAAGAATTTTATAAGGAATAAAAAGAATCATTTCACAATAATAAGGAATTAATTCATAAAGAGTATAATGATCTCAAATGTTTATGCAGCTAATAATATCCTTTCAGTATATACAATGTAGAATCTGATAGGACATCAAGGAGAAATATATGAAAATTCTGCACTTCTGTCAACAATAAATAGAACACTATTGACCACTTTGACTTAATCAACATTTATAGGACTCTTCACCCCAAGACAGCAGCATATATATCTTCTTCAAGAATACATGAAATGTTTTTCGGAGTTATGGCGGCAGTGGATATCCGAGTCAGATGGTTGGAGTGGAATACATCTTTTTACATGCTCAAGAGCCCATTCTTTTTATCATTCGGAAGCAACAGTGGCAGTCCCCTACTCAAGTTATCCCACTGGCTGATTACTATATTATTGCTGGAGTGATCTATCAGGCACCAGACTTGGGGTCAGTTACAAACTCTAGAGTTCTTACTGCAGTGCATGCATCCAGTCAGCTTTTGATGAAGCTATGTCATACTGTCGATATCACCCTTCCAAAGGGTATTGGTGGCACTTCAAAGATCACGAAGAGCAAGATAAAGTCAAACCTAACGTCAAAAGGAAAGAAGAACCAAGCCCCATTTTCCAGAGACAGCGTGTGGATGCTTTACTCCTAGATCTTAGACAAAAATTTCCACCCAAATTTGTGCAGCAAAAGTCTGGAGAAAAGCCTGTCCCAGTGGATCAGACAAAGAAAGAGGCAGAACCTCTACCAGAGACTGTAAAATCTGAGGAGAAGGAGACCGCAAAGAATGTGCAACAGACAGTGGGCTCTAAAGGCCCACCTGAAAAACGAATGAGACGTCAGTGAGTACTGGAGAAGAGAGAAGCTGGCAAGACTCCTCTTGTCCACATTTTACCTCATTACTGTGACAGGCTCTTGAACTTTAAAATTCTTTGTCACAATCATTTGTATAGAATGTGCTTATTCTTTAAGAAAGGATGTAAGGATGCTCATGCTTTCAACCTAAATATTTTTAATGTATCTTTTGTAACCTTTTCCCTTCTGGACTTAAGCATCTTCCTGTCTCACATGTTTACTGCTGTATATGTTTAAAAACAAAATAAAGGTATTTGTATATTAAAAAAAAAATGAAACATTTACCAAGATATATCATAAATTTGAAGATATAAAACATGTCCCTATTTATTTAAAAGAGTTGAATTCATATAAAATAGATTTTCTGAGTACAAAAAATTAAACTAAAAATGAAGAACACAAAATATTTGAAAAATCTTTAGATTTTTGGAAATTATAAACATATCTTGAAATAATTTATGCATCAAAGATAAATCATCAAACTGGAAAATTTTTTGAATGGATGGGAAATTAAAACATGATAATAAATTAAAAGTGAAGTTGCTCAGTGGTGTCCGACTCTTTGCGACCCCATGGACTACAGCCTACCAGCCTCCTTTGTCCATGGGATTTTCCAGGCAAGAATATTGTGTGGGTTGCCATTTCCTTCTATAGCGGATCTTCCCAACCCAGGGATTGAACCTGGGTCTCCTGCATTGTAGGCAGATGCTTTACTATAGGTTACAAAATGTCAAGATGACTCAATGGAAGAATGGTAATCTTTTAAATAAGAATAGGATTATTTTGATACCCATTTAAAAAAAAGACTTTCATTCTTACCTCATACTACATATAAAAAGTAATTTAAAATGGATCATAGATGCAGTGCATGAGTTACAAAAGAACTTCAAGAAGTTTAAAAAAAAAGAGGAGAAAATATCAATCATAATGATCTTGAATTAGGCAAAGAATTCTTAAATAGGAAATAAGAACCAGGAGACAGAGAAAGAAAATTTATAAACTGAACTTCAGTAAAATTTAAAATTCACTCTTCCAAAGACTATGTGAAGAAATTGAATAGGCATACCAAAGAAGACATTATTTCAGCAATGAGAAAATATTTGTAAGAATGCTAAAGCTGGACTTGTGTCTTGAATGTAAACTCTACCAATTCAGTTTAAAAACTTAACACTAGATTTTAAATGACACAACCAAGTAAATGGGAGGGTCACAAATAACATGAAAAATTGTTCAAAATCATTAGCAGTGGGGGAAATGTAAATCAAAACCACAGTGATACTACCATACATTCTTTAGATTGGCTGAAAATGTTGATAGTAGCTTAATTTCTAAAAGTCCCAAACTGGAAATAGTACAAATATAATGCACTGGTGAATGGATAAATTGTGTTACTTTCTTACAGTAGAATTCAGTCGATCAGTCATGTCCAACTCTTTGCGACCCCATGGACTATAGCATGCCACACTTCCCTGTCCATTACCGACTCCCAGAGCTTGCTCAAATTCATGTCCATTGAGTCTGTGATGCCATCCAGCTGTGTCTTTGTCATCCCCTTCTCCTCCTGCCTTCAATCTTTTCCAGCATCGGGGTCTTTTCCAATAGTCAGTTCTTCACATCAGGTGGCCAAAGTATTGGAGTTTCATCTTCAACATCAGTCCTTCCAATGAATATTCAGTACTGATTTCCTTCAGCATTGACTGGTTGGATCTCCTTGCAGTCCAAGGGACTCTCAAGAGTCTTCTCCAACACCACAGTTCAAAAGCATCAATTCTTTGGCGCTCAGCTTTCTTTATAGTCCAACTCTCACATCCGTACATGACTACTGGAAAAATCATAGCTTTGACTGGGAGGACCTTTGTTGGCAAAGTAATATCTTTGCTTTGTAATACACTCTCTAGTTTGGTCATAGCTTTTCCTCCTAGGAGCAAGCCTCTTTTAATTTCATGGTTGCAGTCACCATCTGCAGTGATTTTGGAGCCCAAGAAAAGAAAGTCTGTCACTGTTTCTACTTTTTCCCCATCTATTTGCCATGAAGTGATGGGACAGATACCATGATCTGTTTTCTGAATGTTGAGTTTTAAGCCTTTTTCACTCTTCTCTTTCACTTTCATCAAGAGGCTCTTTAATTCTTCTTCACTTTCTGCCATAGGAGTGGTGTCATCTGCATATCTGATGTTATTAATATTTCTCCCAGAAATCTTGATTCTAGCTTGTGCTTAATCCAGCCTGGCGTTTCATATGATGTACTCTGCATATAAGTTAAATCAGCAGGGTGACAGTATGCAACCTTGATGTACTCCTTTCCCAATTTGGAACCAGTCCCTTGTCCCAAGTCCAGTTCTAACTGTAGCTTCTTGACCTGCATACGGATTTCTCAGGAAATCAGATTAGGTGGTCTGGTATTCCCATCTCTTTAAGAATTTTGCCCAATTTGTTGTGATCCACACAGTCAAAGGCTTTGGCATAGTCAATAAAGCAAAAGTAGATGTTTTTCTGGGACTCTCTTGCTTTTTTGATGATCCAACGGATGTTGGCAATCTTATCTCTGGTTCCACTGCCTTTTCTAAATCCAGCTTGAACTTCTGGAAGTTCATGGTTCATGTATTGTTGAAGCCTGGCTTGGAGAATTTTGAGCATTACTTTACTAGTGTGTGAGGTGAGTGTAATTGTGCATTGTTTGAACATTCCTTGGCATTGCCTTTCTTTGGGATTGGAATGAAAACTGACCTTTTCCAGTCCTGTGGCCATGCTGAGTTTTCCAAATTTGCTGACATATTGAGTGAAGCACTTTCACAGCTGCACCTTTTAGGATTCGAAATAGCTCACCTGGAATTCCATCACCTCCACTAGCCTTGTTTTTAATGATACGTCCTAAGGCCCACTTGACTTCACATTCCAGGATGTCTGGCTCTAGGTGAATCATCATCATGATTATCTGGGCCATGAAGATCTTTTTTGTATAGTCTTCTGTGTACTCTTGTCACCTATTCTTAATATCTTCTGCTTCTGTTAGGTCCATAGCATTTCTGTCCTATATTGTGCCCATATTTGCATGAAATGTTTCCTTGGTATCTCTAATTTTCTTGAAGAGATATATAGTCTTTCCCATTCTATTTTTTCCCTCTATTTCTTTGCATTGATCACTGAGGAAGGTTTTCTTATCTCTCCTTGCTATTCTTTAAAACTCTGCATTCAAATGGGTATATCTTTCCTTTTCTCCTTTGCCTTTAGCTTTTCTTCTTTTCTCAGCTATTTATAAGGCCTCCTCAGACAACAGTTTTGCATTTTTGCATTTCTTTTTCTTGGGGATGGTCTTGATCCCTGCCTCCTGTATAATGTCATGAACCTCCATCCATAGTTCTTCAGATACTAAGTCAAATCATAAGGGATTTGACTTAGGTCATACCTGAATAGTCTAGTGGTTTTCCCTACTTCTTCAATTTAAGTCTGAATTTGGCAATAAGGGGTTCATGATCTGAGCCACAGTCAATTCCTGGTCTTGTTGTTTCTGACTGTACAGAGCTTCTGCATCTCTGGCTGCAAATAATATAATCAATCTGATTTTAGTAGTGACCATCTGGTGATATCCATGTGTAGAGTCTTCTCTTGTGTTGTTGGAAGAGAATGTTTGCAATGACTTGTGCCTTCTCTTGCCAAAACTATGTTAGCCTTTTCCCTGCTTTATTTTGTATTCCAAGGCCAAATTTGCCTGTTACTCCAGGTATTACTTGGCTTCCTACTTTTGTATTCCAGTTCTCTATAATGAAAAAAAAAAAAAACATCTTTTTTGGTTGTTAGTTCTAGCAGGTCTTGTAGGTCTTCATTGGATTGTTCAACTTCAGCTTCTTCAGCATTATTGGTTGGGGGCATAGACTTGGATTACCATAATAGTGAATGGTTTGCCTTGGAAATGAACAGTGATCATTTTCCCATTTTTGAGATTGCATCCAAGTACTGCATTTCAGACTCTTTTGTTGACTATTAGGGTTACTTCATTTCTTTTAAGGGATTCTTGCCCACAGTAGTAGATATAATGGTCATCTGAGTTAAATTCACCCATTCCAGTCCATCTTAGTTCACTGATTCCTAAAATGTCTATGTTCACTCTTGCCATCTCCTGCTTGACCACTCCCAATTTACCTTGATTCATGGACATAACATTCCAGGTTCCTATACAATATTGCTCTTTGCAGCATCAGACTTTACTTCCATCACCTGTCATATCCACAACTGGGTGTTGCTTTTGCTTTTGCTCCATCTCTTCATTCTTTCTGGAGGTATTTCTCCACTCATCTCCAGTAGCACATTGGGCACCTACCGACCTGGGGAGTCCATCTTTCAGTGTCCTATCTTTTTGCCTTTTCATACTGTTCATGGGGTTCTCAACGCAAGAATGCTGAAGTGGTTTGCCATTCCCTTCTCCAATGGACCACATTTTGTCAGACCTCTCCACCATGACCTGCCTGTTTTGGGTGGCCCTACATGGATGATATGGCTCATAGTTTCTTTGAGTTAGAGAAGGCTGTGATCCATGTGATCAGTTTGATTAGTTTTCTGTGATTGTGGTTTTCATTCTGTCTGTCCTCTGATGGATAAGGATAAGAGGCTTATGGAAGCTTCCTGATGGGAGAGACTGGCTGAGGGGAAAACTGGCTCTTATTCTGATGGGCCATGCTCATTAAAACTTTAATCCAATTTTCTGTTGATGGGCAGGGCTGTGTTCCCTCCTGTTGTTTGACCTGTGTCCAAACTATGGTATAGGTAATGAAGATAATGGTGACCTCCTTCAAAAGGTCCTGTGCAAGCACTGCCACACTCAGTGCCCCTGACCCTGCACTAGGCCACTGCTGACCCATGCCTCCATCGGAGACTCCTGCACACTCACAGGCAAATTTGGGTCAGTCTTTTGTGGGATCACTGTTCCTTTATCCTGGGTCCTGGTGTGCACCTGGTTTTGTTTGTGCCCTCCAAGAGTCTGTTTCCCCAGCCCT